ATTGAATATCTAATGTGTTGCTGCATGGAGATGCCTTTTTCTTCGTCATGAAGTTGGTAGAAATTATATTTACTCCTTTTTGTTCTATGCTTAATAGGAATTTTAACCAACTTCTTATGTAGCTCATGAATTCTTGGTCGCTTAGACTGATTTAAGGATATGTGAATAGAAATTTCATATTTTGATTGTGCTTTATAAACATGCATTTGAATCTTTGTTTGAACCCTCATATGTAGGTCCAGGATTCTTATCCTTTCTCCATAGGGTTTGCATCAGATGGAGTCCCTATCTGCTCACCATCAAATGGTACATTGTTTCCTAAAGGTCATCCTTTTCCAAGTGTGAAGATGCTTACATTGCACCGGAGCAACACATTCCACATTGAAGCCTTTTACACAAACCAGAATGAGCTGCCCTCTGGCGTATCTACTAAAATAAGCACTTTCATGGTATTGATGCACTGACCTTATTATTGTGCATAGCTTAGCAGATACATGCAGATTGAAACTAATTACTGAAGTAATAGTTTTTCATGTCAATACCTATTAAAAAAATTAGTATTTGATGCCATGCTCCACATACCACATGGCTGAGAGTTAACAGTTAAAAGTTGGTTGATCTTGTTACTGCTCCTTTTCTTAATTTGCATATAGTGCTGTTATTCAGATGTTGCTCTGAATTGTGATGCTAGAGCAAGTGAGCAACTCCTAATCTTAACTAAAGTTTGTAGGACATCCTTTTAACTTTTAAGTCTCTGTCATTCTCGTGTAGCAATAGAATTATATGTTACTGTGGTAATAATCTAAATTTTCTTGTGAAATATTGTCTCCAACTTTTATTTTGAACATATTTCTGAAGCCATGCTGAATGTATCACCAAACATTTAACAGTATTTTGGTTGGATATTTTGAAAGATAACGGGGTGATCGAGGAATAAAGTTTTAAGAGTATTTTATTGGGACTCTGGGTTGAGTTTGCTATTTATTAAGTAATACTTAGCCGATGATTTAACCATTTCTTTTAGATTGGTCCTTTCCAAGTTGCCCATTCAGAAAAAGCAAAGATTAAAGTCAGAGTTCAGTTGAACGTACATGGACTTGTTACTATTGATTCGGTGTCAGTAAGTATTGATTCTAAGTGCACTTTCTATGAAACTGTTTAGAATCACCATAGAGATCTGATGTTTCTTGATTCTTTTCATTCGTTAAGCTTGTGGAGGATCAGGTGAGTGATTGTGCTGCAGAAGATTCTTTTACAGACAAGAGTGAGGTAGGCAACCTTCTTGGCTTCTTGCAAATAGTTCTGATCTGCACAGTTTTCTCTAACATTTTCTTAATAAGTTGCACTGTCTGCTCTAACTCTCTCTCATTCTGGTCTAAGTGTTAATGTGATACAACCATGATCATGGGGCACTGCTACAGTTATTATTATTATTATTATTATTATTATTATTATTATTATTATTATTATTATTATTAATTATTATTATTTTTATTATTATTATTATTATTATTATTATTATTATTACTATTATTATTATTATTATTATATTATTATTATTATAGTGGGATGACCACTTTCTTAGGTAGTTACAGACACTTTAAGGTAGTGGGTAGTTTTATTATCCTGTATAAATAGATGCCTATGTATTTAAAAAAGGGAGTGAAGAATATATTAATGATTTGTCTGGTGACATTCTGGAGTTAGACTATCACTCGAAGCATAGTCATTTGGAGTTGGGCTGCCACTCGAAGCACAGCCATGGAGTTTAGCTCTTGACTCGAAGAAGAGCAACCCATACAACCTCAGGGTTGTATCATAATGTTATATTTTTATGCATGGAATTCTATATAGGATTTGCTCTTCTTCTTCTTCTTCTTCTTCTTCCTCTCTCTCTCTCTCTCTCTCTCTCTGCATGTCAGATTATGTTCAGAAGTAGATCATTTTGGTTTAAGAACATTTTGGCTATATGTGCTATGTTCATGATAACCAACAAAACAAAAACCACTGGAATGATTTTTGCAGAGTGATGAACCCAAAAAGGGTAAGGCCATCAAGAGGCAGGATTTACCCATTAGTGAACACGTAGATGGTGCAATGACCCTTGCTGAGCTGTCCATAGCTCAAGGAAAAGAACATCAATTTTCAGAGCATGACAAGGAGGTGGAGCGGACTAAAGATAAGAAGAACACTCTGGAGGCTTATGTTTATGAAACTCGTAATAAGGTTGGGCTTCAATCTTTTGGCTTGTAGTTGTATTATCATTTACTCAAACATAGAACCCAACTATTCAGTGGAGCTCTGCTAGCAAATTTCAGAGTAGTTTGTTACAGCGTTATTCATGGATATTCTAATGGAGATAACTTAATGTCTTGCATTTGTCATGAACTGTGAAATTCACTGTATGGGCCGTATGGCTGGTGCCTAAATAGTTAAGAGCTTTTCCTCTGCTGTGAGGTTGAAGTATCAGGCAGCTGTTATTCAGATTAGGTTTTTGGATCTGATTTGTATTTTTTTGGACTGTCCTTTTTCTAGGTAACCTATTTACTATATTTGGACAATGTGCATGTGTTTCCATGACATGTCACATGTTTGTCCTCATAATTTGTCATGGAGCATGTTGTCCTTCATATTCTGATGCGGACCTCTTAAATTAATTGCTTTATAATTGTTTTTCAGTTCTTGGTGATGTGTTAGAGGGGAGGAGTGGATTTAAATCCACAACCTCAAGCGTGTGAGGGTGGAGCTGTGTGCCTGTGTCCATGTCCACCAAATTGTTTCCTTAGGATTTGCTATTAGTGTTTTGACATTTATTTCTGTAATTTATATCAGTGTTTGACATGTTGTTCATTTATAATAGCTTTTGAATACATATCGGAGCTTTGCAAATGATTTGGAAAGGGATGAGATCTCTAGTAATCTGCAGCAGACTGAAGAATGGCTCTATGAAGATGGAGATGATGAGTCTGAACAAGTCTATTCGGAAAAGCTAGAGGATCTTAAAAAGGTTGTTATCAGTTATTTTAAATTTAATTTCTAGTTTTCTACTCTTCCCCTTAAAACATCTTTATTTTTCTTAATGATTGTTGTCAATGATTATTAGATTGTAGATCCAGTTGAACATAGATATATGGATGAAGAAGCCCGGGCACAAGAAACACGGAATCTACTAAACTGTATAGTGGAATACCGAACTGCTGCAGAATCTCTTCCAGCCAGTGAGAGAGATGCTGTATGTCCTCATCTAAGATAAATAAGATGCAAAAAATAACTATTATGGTTCATGATTTTATAGATACTCCATATTTCTTTCGTGATTTCATAGATATTTCTTTGCAGGTCATCAATGAATGTGATAAAGCAGAGCAGTGGCTTAGAGATAAATCCCAACAACAGGATTCATTACCCAAAAATGCTAATCCAATACTGTGGTCAACTGAAATCAAGAAAAAGGCTGATATTCTTGATGCGTATGTCTATCATCTTACCATTCTGCCCAACAAACATGTATCCTATAACCGTAAAGTTATAATTATGTCAAAATTTCAGTGCACAATTCTTTTTGGAGTGTTGCAAAATCTTAAAACTAATATGGAGTATCATTCTTTATTTCCACTGAGGGAAGCTATTAAAAAAAGGGAGAAATGATAGGATTAGGCTGACAGAGCAATCTTGTTTTTGGTTGAATTATTTATAACCAATGCAACATCACATGCACATGTTGAAAGATTTAATTGCATTCATCTGCCTAAAGCATCATCACCTGTTTATATAAATGCCTTGCTTGCTCAGATTTGTTGATGCCCAGTATGCTTATTTGTATTGCTGCCAATGTTTATACTCTTATGTTAAATGTAGTTCCGAAAGTGGGACTTTTCTTAGGCAGTTAGGCAGATATGATGTGATTTGCATATTTACTGTCCTTTGTGTTGAATTAAATTTGAGAATATAAGTGGATAAGAAAAAAGAACACATGAATTTCCAGTTAGAGAATGCATCAAAAGTGTCCATGTTCTTTTTTCCATTATCATTTTTATTTTGTTTTGATAAACGTAAAATGATAGTGTACATTCTTACAGGATGTGCAAGCATATGATGAGATCCAAGTAATCGCCATCAAATACTGACACAGCCAGAGATTCATGCTGAAGAAGAAGTATAAGGGATAATACGGATATAGAGATTGATGCAAAGGAGTTGAACGTGAGAAGCTGTTACGCTAACTGGTCGAGGATTATTTAGACTTTCCACAAGTGAGAACTCTCATTGGGATGGTGCACAGAGTGTCACATCTATTTTTTTTGCTGGTAGGAATGCTCCAGTCATTTTATGCACATTTTTCTGGCGCCTGAAAACAAATAGCTCACATTTTCTGTTTAAAAGTTCAATTTCTAGATTTTATTGTTCACTGTCCCAGACATTCATCATAAAGGAGAAAACACAGATTTTTGAACATTTGATTGTCATAGATTTTGTACATGAAATTAGATATGTTCTGGTAAATTACCACTCTTTTTGGCTTGGCTTTGATGCTTTAATGATTTTTTTGTCTCATTATTACAGCATATGTATTTTTGTGAGTATGCTATTTTTGTGCTTTTTATAATGGGTATAATTATACACATGTCTAATTGCACTATGACCTTGTTTGGTAATATAGTTAGCTTACTAGCCAATTTTGATTTATTTGACCACTATAAACTGTTTGACTTGGTTAAATAATTAGTGTTTTGATTAATTAATTTTTTGTAACAACTTGTTCCAAAATGCTAAAATTAAAAAAGTTGTTCACAATAGATTTTTGAGAAAGTCATTTTGCATGTAACCAGTTAACAACTAATTTACTAAATATTTTTCTACAATCAACTAATGCTATCAACTAATCAAAAGTTATTTTCTATTAATAGACGGTTGTGATTAGTTCTCGTTTTTTAAAGAAAATACATGTTTTTGTTTGAAAAAATATCACTAGAATCTAATTAACATCAGCAAAATTATAGAAGCAACATTAGATATTGTGACAAGAACTGACTTTTACAATTACATTCAAATCTCATCTTATGTTATACATTAGTTGAAACAATTCAATGCTTTCTCAGAATTTTACATACATATATATGAAAAGTTGAAGAGATAATTACATGGAATTCAATTCATCTTCTGTGATACTGAAACCTCTAGACAAAATTTAACTCTGAAATGAACACCACCTCTAAGCACCTACCAAGATTGCAGCTCAGGTGCACCATTTTTCTTTCATTTTGTACACATTACATCTGATCTGAAACAGAATTTTCTCACCATTCTGACTTCTACCATTGTTTCTTTCAATGATTGAAGGATCAGTCAAATAAGGCTTTCATACAACTTGAGAGACAAGAACGGCTAAACCGAATTCAGGGCAGAAGCAGCACAAGCAATGTTGAGACTACTACGAGCAGAAGAGACCTTGTGGATGAAACGTAAAGACCTGACAAACAAAACTTTCTGTCAAAAAAAGCAGATGAAATTGAAACATAACTATCTTGCTTGCCAAAATACAAGAATTTAGAAGTTTATGTTGGAGATCATATCAGGCGAAAATGTGTGGGGATAAGAGCAGCTCCTTGATCTTAAAGTGGCTCCAGTTTAAGATATAGCGTTTTTCATATAGACTTCACCATTTCTCAAATAAATTTGGACTCGGGAATTCATGCAAGATAAACAAGCCAAGGAACTCAAAATGGATGTCCTTACCGGTTTGCCCAGATGCAGCAGCCGGAAGTGCAGGAATTCTGACAGCTGCAAGAAAGAGTTCATATATTAGTTCAGAAGGCGACAATACATTTCTTCAATTTTTTTTATTATTAGATGACAAATTTAAGACGACCACTCTAAGGATAAAAGTATAATTAAAGAGGAGTAAATAGACAGAAGTAGGTAAGCGTACTTTTATTGCACGTTGAAGCATGCGACTGAGATGCAGATGGCCAAGGCGCTGGAATGTTATCGTTCAAATCACAGACAAAGCTGATCCCGGTGGTTTGGTCAAGTATGGCATCTGATGGCAAACTAGGCAAAAGGCACCCGGAAACTACCCCATAAAAACAAAACGTGAGAACAGGATACAATTCCATATGTAATTGATGGCATTTATTAAACTTGATGTTTAAAACTACAAGCTCACAAAATTTCTAGTTGTTTATTAAAGCATAATGCTTTTATTTTAACACAATTCCGACCAATAAGCTTAAAGAGTGCGAGTGTTTTTCATGATATAGAAAAGCTAACTGATGCCGTGGCGCTTAACAAGAGAATAGACAGAAATACCTTCTGGCGTAACTGGACAAGTCATTTGAAGATTCCCAGATAAGAACCATGCAACAAAACCACATATTCATGTTAGCATAATCGGGTGAATGAATATCTTCATAATGTGTTACACAATACTATACGCAAATGGCATCCTGAATCAGTACTGACCTTGAACGGAAAAATCCTTCAGGGTAATATGGCAGAGATTGTAAACATTTTGGGTAACGTTGGCTTTCTGTAACTTCATACCAAGTGAAGCAGCGCAATCCAAAGCTTGCAAGTTGGTGACAAAGCTCTGTCTTTGCAAGTGCGAAACGTATTTCTCCATGGCCCGACAACATGCCGTCTCGTTATTTATCCCAGTGTCACACGCCTTTATGCTCTGGCCCATGTTCGGGAAAACCAGAGGACAGACTGAATCCAGAACCAAAGAGCGATAATGTTACTTAACATGATTGAAGATTATCAATATTATCTGTTAAGAGTCCTACATTGAAAATATAAGAGAGAACATATGGGTTTATGAAAAGCCATGGGAGGTTAGACTAGCTAATAGAGTGACCTTAGCCCAATCTTAGATTATATAACATGGTATCAGAGCTTGTTCAGTTTGTTGTGCACTAGAGACCTTAGCCCAATCTTAGATTATATAACATGGTATCAAAGCTTGTTCAGTTTGTTGTGCACTAGAGACCTTAGCCCAATCTTAGATTATATAACATGGTATCAGAGCTTGTTCAGTTTGTTGAATGACCTAGATCCAATCTTATCTTAGATTATAATGACATAAGCATTAATCTCGTGTTCAAGGCATGGAATAACAGAGAACTAGTTGTATCACTCACCTCGATTATTTTTGCAGCTAGAGAGCCCTCGAAGAACGTCTTTTGCACCTGAAGGTTCAAGTTTACTTGCCAACCATCGGAGTACAATGCGTTTGCAGTCATTGGCTCTAGGCGACTGGTCGGACAGTACATGAGATCCACCGATACTCGGAAGATCATAAGCTTTTAATGCAAGCTTCCTAGCAGCTTCTGATATAGCAGTTTGACAGATTTGTTCGCAACACTCGTTTACAAGATCAATCCTCCCACAGGCCGAAAGAAGGCTGGAAGTGTCCACTGTGGCTTCGAACTCATGAAGATCACTGATTGGGCAAGAACCTTCAGTGAGGTTTGACGGGTTAAGAGAGCAGATTTGTTGTAGCGTATCATTGGCACCCCTGCTCTCGAGAATTTTCTGAAAATCCGAGAGGCAATGCTCTGCAAGGGTCGCGTTTAAAGCGAGTGTATTTGTATATTTACTATGTTGGCCCACAAGCACAACGAGAGTGGTTTCCAGTTGCGGGCAACACATGACGTTTGCTAGATACTTTGCAAACGGAGCAGCACAATCAATCGAGGTCATGCTTATCATGCTTCCCAGAGCAGCAAAGTTTAACGGGCAGGACCCTGACAAGTAAAACCAAGAAACGAAGAGATTTACTTCGGGCGAGGGAAAAAATAAAAACTTTATGATAATAATGCCACCAAGAATTTAACACATTCTGAAAACCAAACAGACCAGACAACTTCGGGACACTGCTATTTGTGAACGGTGCCAAAGGAGAAGGCGCCAGAAGAGGAAGAAGCGGCTGAGCCTCAGGCGCTGCAGTTGGGGCGGCAGTCTGGGGTAAAAGACCATTCCCCGTTTTTTCTGGAAGTTCCGAACTCTTGAGATTGTTCAATGGACTGCAACAGGCATCATGAAGGCCTGCACAAATAGTACATTCAACAGAAGTAAGCAATATAGAGCTTAATATATTTACAAAAGGACAGACTAATATCCTTACAAATATAATGAGCTTTACACAAAATAATTCCAGCATTTCACAAGTCCGCATTGTATATATACAATTATACATGAAGCAGAGATAATGAAGAACAGGAAAATTGCAAGAACTAATCAGTGCACTAAAGAACAGGCAAACAGCAAGAACTATGATTCAAAAACCAGAACAAAACATTAACCCTACAACCTAGAATTCCATTCCTCTAGTCAATGAACTTTCAACAAATCACACTGCATATCTCTTTCAGTGCAACAATACAATAATCAAAATCTGGGGCTAACCCAATTCCAGAAAAGCCAAAACAACCAGATTTCCATTTACAGTTCTCCACATCCAAAAAAGAAGAGAGAAAAAACAAGCAATTACACAGAACTAAACAGCCAATACAGCAAAACACCCCCCAAAAAAATTTCCACTTGGGTTTCTGGGATGAAGAAGAAGAAAAAAAATCTCATTTCTATAACAATGAACAGATTAATGATTCAAGAAGTGAGTGAACCTAGCAAGAAATTAACAGAAAAAAAGCAAAAAATACTTACAGAGAAGCAGCAGAAGCAGAAATACATTAAGCTTCCAAGTCCAGGCCACCCCCTTTCTCATACCTACTCTCCTCACCCCAGAACTCCCAACACAAACCAACCAGGTGGGAAACACAAGAAAACACAGAAAAGATAAGAAATTTATGAGCAAGAACTGGGCTTTTTGGGGAGAAGGAGAAGGGGTATGTGGGAATAGAAGAAATCAGAAGCCATGAATGAGGTGTTGCGCAGCGGGAGGGGGGTGGGGACAAAAGCAGTAATAAGCAACAGCTGGCCAAATTAGTGTGAAGACCCCACCAAAGATTAAGCACAAAAATTCCAATTTCATTGGCTTATCACTCAAGATTATATCCCCCATCACCATAATCTTTTTAAATGCTTCGAGTATAAGTAGCCTCATAAATACCCTCTATTCAAGTTCATATTTTTTTTAGGTAGGAGTGCATTAAAATCCATTTAAGTGCCTCCAATTTTTCCAGCCTTTCTTAGTCATGTGCTAGTCACGTGAGATCCGGGATTATTGTTCCATTTTTCTATTGAATTTTCGATTGTTGGTTGTGAATAAGTCGATGAACAAAATATAATATAATTTAAAAAAATAATTCTAACCAAAATTTTGGTACGAAATCAAAATAATAAGGGATTTAATATATAAAAAATTAATTTGCCAAACTTGGTATGAAACAAATAGATATTTATATAAATATATAATATATATATATATATATAGACAAAAAATATGAGGTTTAAACCCAATGAAAGAAGGAAAGATTCAAGTCGTGTGTAACACACACTTTTCTTTAAACTGATTTGCTATCTCTCGATGGGGTTAGGAGTGTTATAGTGTCAGACTCTTAGAATAAAATGGATCACGACCTTAAGTTTGAGCACTCAAACAAAAGAAAGGTCTAGCGAACTGGAACAACAGGCGAGCACTCTTAGGGATGGCAACGGGGCGGGGCGGGGGCGGGGAGTATACTCCCCGTCCCCGTCCCCGCTACCCCGTCCCCATCCCCGTCCCCGTCCCCGTCCCCGACGGGGAAGTGAAATATTCCCCATCCCCATCCCCGCGGGGAATTAGGCGGGGACGGGGATTCCCCATTCCCCGTCAATTCATAGTCAAAATGTTAAATAATTGTAATTTTTAATAAAAAAAGAATTTAATCTAAATTCTAGTTTCAAAAATTAAAATACTAAGTATATATATACACACACGTTGTATACTGCCTGTATATATACTATATAGTGTAGTGCATACTGGCACTTATTTATACACAGTGAATAGTGGCACTTATATATACAATTACAACATTAATTATATATATAATTCATTAAAAACATATATAAATAGCATACTGCCATTACTTTACTTATATATACACAGTGCATAATGGCATTTATATATACAAATACAACATTAATTACATATATAATTCATTACATATATAAATAGCACACTGCCCTTACTTATATATTATATATTCGGGGACGGGGCGGGGCGGGGAGGGGTATCCCCATCCCCGTCCCCGTCCCCGACGGGGAATAACACATATTCCCCGTCCCCGTCCCCGTTCCCCGAAAATTTTCCCCATCCCCGTCTCTATCGGGGCGGGGATCGGGTATCCCCGTCGGGGACGGGACACATTGCCATCCCTAAGCACTCTGTACGGTTTACGGAAATGTTTGGCAAAATTTTCTTTGTAAGAAAAGAGTTGAGAGAGGACTAGAGAAAACAGAGATTTTGAGAGTTCAAATTTAGTAGCTAAAACAATTCTGCCCAACACCAAGTATTTATAGGAGAATGAGGAAAAATTAATTCCTACGAATCAGAATTAACACTTTCAGAAAGGTACTTCGAAAAGTAGTTCAAGCATCAGAATTAACACTTCCAGAACGGTACTGAAGAGTAGTTCAATCATCATAATTAACACTTCCAGAACGGTACTCTTAAGAGTAGTTCAAGTAGTACCCACGAATAGTTGCCTAGGTTACGAATGGTCAACCGTTCAGTCAAATCGAATAGTCAATAGTCTGAACGTTGACTATTCGGTCTTTTCAAGCTCATTTTGGGACTTGATTTGCACTCCATCCCTGCACGCGAGAGAGTGCTTCTATGCTATACAATTCAACATGCTTTTAAAAGGCTCTTGTATATATCGTGCCATAGTGGTTTAAACCCACTTCCCAAACTAATGTGAGACAAATGATTTTACAAAGCATTTCCACGTTCATTCACAACTCAAATGGGTCTACTTTGAGAATCAATTTCTCATTCACTCATTATCCATTTTGAGCATACAACATATCAATCTCTTCATCTTACTACGAAGAACCTGAATCTAATTGGACCTGACCCAAATCGAAATTGGACTCCATATATAATTGTACCACAAAATAACCACTTTCTATGTCATTTTATACTAAAAATTTCAACAATTCGATGTCTTTCATGACCAGATAGTGAAAATTTGCGACGAGGATAATCTATTTTATGAGTGAATTCAATCAATGACAGATTTTAATAAATTTTAAATAATTTTTATAGAATATTCTTAAATTCTGTAAATTTTGTAAAAGAATATAAAATCATATTACAAATATTTAAAAATTTTTAAAAAAATTTCCATATTAAAAAATAAAAAAAATCTGTAATAATTAATTAAACTCTAAATGGAATATATTATTACACACTTTTCAAAGCTCTATGTGCAACACATATCCTACTTAAGGACCCTGAGTTAATAAAATATGACACGTTTATTGTTATGTTAGCTAGAAGGATATTCAAAATATTTTATTTATTTATTTTTGTAGACTATTAGGTGTCCTGAGCAACTGAGCAAGCCTTAATTGTAGGAGGGGTCTTTAAGCCTGTACTACACTTAAATTTTTTTTTTTTTTGAGGAATACTACACTTAAATTAATCCTCATTCGCATCGGACTGGCCAATTAAGAGGAGAATGTATGACCACTCACACCAACCAAACTGGTTATAAATATTTTTTTATTAGTCTTTAATTTACTGAAAGTTTGCCGCCGCTATTGAAATGTATACTTTGGATAGTCAAACTTAGAATTTTATAAGAGTTAATACCCAAAATGGTCCCTCGACTATGGCATAATTATCAATTTGGTCCTCAACTACCATTCTTACCCAATTAAGTCCTCAACTATGTAACTTTTACTCAATTAAGTCCTCAACTATACAATTCTTACCCAATTTAGTCCTCAACTATACAATTCTTACCCAATTTTGTCCTCTGTATTAATTTGACTGTTTGTTGACTGTCAAAAGTCGGGATAAAATTATAATTTTACAAGATTTCTCCTTCCTCTCCATTTAGCAGCGCCAAACCATGCAGCAATACACTCCGATCAGATTTCGATCGTCAAAAAATCGTTGGAAATCAAATTCATGTGCTATCCGATGCATAACCACTACTTCGATACTGACAGGTTTAGAACCCAACCGGAGCTTATTGCTACATGGTTTGGCGCTGCTAAATGAGGAGGAAGGAGAAAACTTGTAAAATTATAACTTTATTTCCACTTTTGACAGTCAACAAACAGTCAAATTGACAAAGGACTAAATTGGGTAAAAATTGTATAGTTGAGGACTTAATTGGGTAAGAATGATAGTCGAGGACCAAATTGGTAATTACGACATAGTCGAGGGACTATTTTGGGTATTAACTCATTTTATAATTATCAAATTATGAGTGAATTCAATCAATAACAGATTTTAATAAATTTTAAATAATTTTTATAGAATATTCTTAAATTCTGTAAATTTTGTAAAAGAATATAAAATCATATTACAAATATTTAAAAATTTTTAAAAAAATTTCCATATTAAAAAATAAAAAAAATCTGTAATAATTAATTAAACTCTAAATGGAATATATTCTTACACACTTTTCAAAGCTCTATGTGCAACACATATCCTACTTAAGGACCCTGAGTTAATAAAATATGACACGTTTATTGTTATGTTAGCTAGAAGGATATTCAAAATATTTTATTTATTTATTTTTGTAGACTATTAGGTGTCCTGAGCAACTGAGCAAGCCTTAATTGTAGGAGGGGTCTTTTAAGTCTGTACTACACTTAAATTTTTTTTTTTTTGAGGAATACTACACTTAAATTAATCCTCATTCGCATCGGACTGGCCAATTAAGAGGAGAGTGTATGACCACTCACACCAACCAAACTGGTTATAAATATTTTTTTATTCGTCTTTAATTTACTGAAAGTTTGCCGCCGCTATTGAAATGTATATTTTGGATAGTCAAACTTAGAATTTTATAATTATCAAATTAAATGTTTGACCAACTTAGTTGGAACTTAATTGGTATTGTCTCCCTATTTATTATAGTCATATCAAAGCAGATAATGTTGTAATATCATATCAAATTATGGAGCATCTACTGAAAATCAGACCAAAATTTATTAAATTTTCTTAAAGTAGGAATTTAAGTGGAAGGGACATAATAAGTGAATAATGGTATCAAGTCCACATTGCTTTCTTGCATAATTGGCCAAATAATATTGCTGTGGATATTTCAAGAATATTAATCCGTAAAGTTTCATAATAGAAGATTTTAATTGTTGCCTGTAATTTTGCAATTGCCAATTAAGTTATTTTTCATCCCATTGGGTATATTTATTCACACATCTTAGACAAGTCAAGAAACAACATTAATATTTTAGTGGGTTAACCCAACCGGCCTGACCCAACTAAAACAAAAGGTCCAACAACACAAAAGAGTAAGAAATAAATCTTGGCAAATTATTCTGTGAAGGTGGAATAGTTATGTTGTGCAACTGAATACACCATGCGCATGATGCATACGATGCAAAACGACGTCGTTTTGATTAAAAACGCGCGTCCCACTTAAATAAAAAATAATTCAGATTCGATTTTCGGCAATAGCATTATTGTGGATATATAGTTATGAATTTCTGGATATATAGTTATGAATTTCTGGATATATAGTTATGGATTTGTGGATATATAGTTATAAATTTATGGATATTTAGTTCATTCATTGTGGATATTTAGTTCATTCATTGTAGATATTTACTTCATTCATTCAATGTGGATATATAGTTATGAATTTGTGGATATATAGTTATGAATTTATGGATATTTAGTTCATTCATTCACTGTGGATTTAGTTCATTCATTGTGGATTTTTACTTCATTCATTCACTGTGGATATATAGTTATGAATTTGTGGATATATAGTTTTGAATTTATGTATATATAATTATGAATTTGTGGATATATAAAAATGCTATTGGCGAGAATTGA